AAAAAAAAAAAAAAAAAAAAAAAAAGAATGGGCTTAGATGCTGCTGATGTCAGTCTGAGCCCAGTGGGCAGCTCCAGCCCATAGCTTGTGCCTCAAATAGGTCAGGTCTGTGGCAGCAGGAAACCCACCAAAGAAACCAAGCCTTCATGGACCACTGCGGCCCTGCCTGCCCTGTCTGACCTCATCTCTGCTTAGAAGGAGCTGGAGGAGGAGTAGCCCCAGAGGACCAGACAGTGTGGCCCTCAGCTGCCCAGACCACTGTAGGAGATGGCTGTGAATTTAAAGGGAGGCTAGGCAGCATGTGAGGAGAGAGCCTGCTGTTTGTGTAAGTCACAGGGTGCTAGGGGCAGGGGGGTGGGGGGGGGGGGGGGAGTGTCCTAGACCCAGGACCACTCTGGGGATTTGCTGCTCCCTCTATGTCTAGCTTCCGTGTGTCTTCACACACCTGTTCCACTCTGTCCTGTGCACCCCAAACTCTGACAACACCCTTCCAGGGCAGGATGCTTGGATAGGACTTCTGGGAGCATCTTGCTATAATCAGAACCAAACTGTGATGGGAAAACTAGGAAGGTGCTTAGCCATGTCTAAAATGCTGTTTAAAGGTGACCAAGTTAGCCTGCCTGGACTATGTGACCCCAGTGGCAACTATGAGTAACCTGGGTCTCTGAGAGCTTAGGGGCTTCTCCAGGGCCACACAGCCAGCAGGTGACAGAGTTGGGATTTGGACCTGGGTTCTAGTTATGAGCTCCGTGCACTCTGCCATTCTGCCTGCTTGTTCTAAGTGACAGGGGAAATGCCTTTTATTGGAACAGTCATGCAAATTTAATTCACATCTCCGTGATGAGCAACACTTAACAAACCCATGTCGGCAAAAGCTTTTCATTGTTCCGAGAGTACTCTTTTTTTTGGTGGGAGGAGGTGTTAGAGACAGGGTCTCACTGTGTGGTTCAGACCAGCCTCAAACTCACTATGTAGGCCAGGCTGGTCTCAAATTCTCATCATCCTGCCTCAACCTCCCGAGTACTGGGATCCACAGGCCGGGCGTTGCAACTACAGTCCATTACCCCATACAGAGGCCAGTACGAAAGACCCCAACCTCCTGGCTCAACCTTGACCTTGACAGCTGGCAAGGCAAGCAGTCACGACTTCCTCAGTCTGGGGCCAGTGGTGGCCAGAACTGGAAACCATCTGGAAATCCCAAGTGGTTTTGATATCACCAGACTCCTGCTGCCCAGTGACCCCTGGATGGGTCCCCAGGACTCTGATGCCAGCCTGGACTGAGGCTGGGTTCACTGGCCTCCTTTGAGCTCTGTCAGCTAGTTTGATACCTGCTTCTCTAAAGAGCCCTGTCCCTGAACACCTGCCTGTCCCCAACAATCTCCTTGCTGGCAGCCTCCCTAAAGGACAGTCATGAACAGACATAATTAGTGCAATTATTCTAATTGGCATTCTTGGCTTTAGTCACAGAATAAAGTCCCAGAACTAATTTTGATAATATTCCCGTTAGAGTTCTGGGGGTGGGGGCAGTTGGCTCTGTGCCTGGCTGTGGGATTTTTCCTTTCAAATTTTTTAAATGATCACAGACACAGTATTAAGTAGGAGAACATCACTGCTGTGGGAGGAGGACATTCCCTGCCCACAGCCTCTTCTCTGAGCTCTGCAACAGCATGGGGACTTCCTGTCGGGGGTCCTCCCCTCCCCACTCTCAGTCCAGGGATGGGCATGTGACTCATGTGACCCACGCCTCCAGGAGCCAGGGAGTCCGTTGGCCACATTGAATGGCTCAGGAATTGGCATGTGACCCAATCCTAACCAATGACAGTAGGTCCTGGAGCTTTTGCAGGAATTTCTGGGAAGAGATACTTTCTGTTGGACTTGCTACCCAGGAGGATGTAATCAAGGAGGCCTGCCTGGAAGTGGCGTCATCGTCAAAGCAACAGAGATGTGAGATGACGGACTAGGAAAACCAGTCCTACTGGCCACCTTTGGGCTTGTATTGATGTACTATCTCTGTGCTGATGAGGATGGATTGCAGGCAGGGTCCAGCATGTGCTAGGCAAATGCTCTGCCCTGAGCTGCACCCCAGCCTGCTGGGCTTCTGCATACACCTTATGTGAACTTGTCAATCATTTGACCCCCACTTCCTTGTTGTCCCAAGCTAATTTGAGCTTGTGCTCTGTCACTTGCAATCATGTAAGTCCTGCCCAATATAAAGCAGGGGAAAATAGTCCCTAACACTGCTGTGACTCTCAGAGGTCCCTCAGCCTCCCTGTGCTGAACCTGAAGGGAACAGATGGCAGGGTCCCCACCACATTACCTGCTCCAGCAACTGCTGCTGCCTGGCAGCTGCCTCCAGTGCAGCCAGTTCCTTGAGTCGGGCCCGGAGGTGGGCGAGCTTGCCACCTTTGCCCCCCTTGCCCATCTTCCCTGCTGCAGCCAGGGCCGCGTTGAAGAGCTTGGGGGTGCCCGCCCGTGGCGGCAGGATGAGCACGCTCTTCTGCTCCTTGGGCTTGTTGTTGTTCCTCAGCATGCGCCTGAAAGACAGCAGCCCTGGCATCAGAAGCGCCCTCTGCAGGGAGAGCTGCATCCACAGAAGATGCCACGGCAGCCTGTGTGGTGGGGGCGGTTGTGGCTGACAGGTCTCAGGGAACTTTCTGCGTAGATCTCATTGAATGATCAGCCCATAAAGAGGTGAGTCTCCTGTCTGCACCTACTGGATGGGCACACTGAGGCTCAGAGAGACTGAGTAACTCTTCTGAGGCCACATAGGTAGGACATACTGAAGGGCATGGCCATGGCTGAGTGTGTCCCCCAGGCCTCATGCACTGGGAGCCTGGTCCTCAGTGTGCTGGGCTTGAGAGGTGGTGTGGGCTAGAGAAATCTTTGGGTCTCTGAGAATGCAGCCTGCAGAAGAGATTGGTGTGGTTCTCTGGCTTCCTGTCTTGCCGTGTGATCTTCCTGTCCAGTGTACTCCCACCACTGCCATGTCTTATGGGGCCCTCAAGCCAGCACCAGGGCCATGCACTTCCCCTCCAGAACTGTGAGCCGAACAAACCTCTTTTATTTATAAAGGACCTGGCCTTGGGTATTTCTTTTCTCTCTCCTCTATCTTGCCTCCCTTCCCCCTTTTCCTTCCTCCCTCCCTCCCTTCCTGCTCAGAATCAAACCCAGGCCCTGGTACACACTAACCAAGCCCTCTACTGCTGAGCTATACCACCAGCCCCAGGTACTTAAACATGTGGAATCAGAAATGGGAAGCCCAGGTGCAACCACACCCAAAGAGGTTTCCTTCCACTTCACTGTCCTTTCCCCAGGGTCACCAATTTCATACTGAGTGTCTGAGTCCTTCACAGACACCCTGGGCCCCCAACGCCCTGCCTGAGGCTCTGGGCTCTGTGTGGCCTCTCCCTGCAGGGTGAATTTGACACAGGCCACGCAAGCTTGCACCTAAGAGAACACAAGAAGGTGGGAGCCAGCACCGCGTGTGTAGCCACAGAGGACCGTGGGCACTGCCCACTGGCTTTGATGAAGCAGCCAGCCACATTGCAGGAGCCCAGGGAGCAAGAGCCAGGGCAGCAGCCAGCTAGGAACAGAGGTGCTGATCCCTCGACCCCAGATTCCGCCAGCACCATGTGGTCCTGGGAGCTGGCCTTTCCCCCATGAAGACTTCAGATGAGCCCCTTCTCAGCGACGGCTTGGTGATAGCCACGTGTCTGGAGCCCGTGGAGGGTTCAGCTAAGCCATCCCAGGCTTCTGAGCCACAGAAATTGAGATAACAAATGTGTGTAGTTTCAAGGCACTAAATTTGTAGTGATGTTACATAGCAATAGATAACTAATATGAATCTCCATTCTCAGTAAAGCCTCACCACAATGCCCACAAGTAGCCTTACTATTCATGCCCATCTCTAAATGAGGACACAGAAGTCCACAGGGGGTGAGTAACCTTCCCAAGGCCACACAGCTAGGAAATGGCACAGCTGAAATTCAATCTCACACTTCTGACCCCAGCAGCCCGGATCTCAATGTTCCAAGGCAACATCACAGTCATTGCCTTCTTCGATGCAGACAATACTTCTGTGACATAGAAAGGGCCGGGATAACTATGGCCCTGACAGTTGGGGAAACTGAGGCTCAGAGCATAGGGGAGTAACATGCCCAAGGTTGTCAGGAAGCAGAATCACAACCCAAATCTCCTGCGATGTACCACTCAGGTTTTCTAAATCAGGACAGAATTCTCCACCAAGGCAGCCCCACCTTTCACAGGGAATTTTTCTGTACTATGAAAATGTGATGAGTAATTTGGCTCCAGTACAAATGAATTTTGTCTGTGATCTAATGGCCTAGACTGCTAATTGGCAAATTCATTCATCAGGGTTCCAGCAGAACTTGTTTGTGTAAAAATGAGCCTATTACCAGCTGCTTATCTAATCAGAGGCAATGGGCTTAACTTTCACAGATTGATATTAATTACAGGAGATTTGCATTTGCTCTCTGAGTTCCCCAGGAGAGCACAAACATGGTAATTCATCAGAGGTCTCTAAGACACCAGCCTGCTCTGTCACCTGTGTTATTTGAGTCCATAATTCATGGTGTGACATGAAGGCTCCGTATGGGGCTGAAATGAGACAAAATCAGTGTCCACGGGGCCTCTGCCATTGCTAATGGCTGTTTCTGTTTTGAAATACTGAGCTGGCTTCTGGGATGTTTCCATATTAAAGAGACTCCTCTTCACTTTTATTTTATTTTTAATTAATTTTTGTTTGTTTGTTTGGACACACGATGTCACTATATAGTCCAGGCTGGCCTTGAACTCACCATGTAGCCAAGGCTGACCCTAATCTCATGGCAATCCTCCTGCCATAGCCTCCTAAGTGCTCAGATTACAAGTGTGCTATAACACCTTGCCTGGCTTTCCCTTTCATTTTTAGATGATACACACTTCTCTATTAGGATCCTGCATTGCCCTAGAGAAAGGACCAGGCATAAGACTTTTCATCTCCTCTCTTGGAGTGGTGAAGCCAGAAATTGGAGCACTTCGCTTTTGGGGGCCTCAGCTCCCCATTTTTTTTTTGGTACCGGGGTTAGAACTTGGGACCTTTTGGTTACAAGGCAGTCAGCAGAACCACTGAGCTAAATCCCCGGCCCACCTCCCCATTTTTAAAGTGGGGATCTTGGGCAGAATCCCATGAGGGGAGATGGCCTCACCAACTCAGATGTCCCCAGTCCCTGTCTTTCCTTTGATGGGCAGAGCTCACGTTCAATCCCCACCCTCAGGGTTAGGGGCTTCTGAATTGCCTTGGGGCCTCTGCAGGCTCCCACCTAATCCAGGTAGGGGACAGAAACAAAAGGCAGGGACCTGCTGGCAGTTTTCAGACATAAGCAGCTGAATCTGCTGATTTGCTATAACTGTCTTCGGTAAGATCCCTGCGAACACGGAGTTAACAAAGCCAGGACCACCACTCCCAGGGACACACAGGTGAGGCTCTTATAGGCCCTCGCAGTGGCCTTGCTCAACTCACCAGGGCCTAACCTGGCCCTGTGTGCACTTCTGGTCCAAGACATCTCCTTTCATGTACATAGTTAAGACGTTAACATTGAGATTTCTCTCTCTCTCTCTCTCTCTGTCAGTTGACATATACATGTGCATGCATGTATGCATATGGCTATAGTTCACGTTCATGCACACAGGTATGTACGTGGGTGTTGCTTAGTGCTGCCCGTGGTGGAGACCCAGGAGCACCCCCACCAATCCTAGATGAGCATTCCTAGGACTCAGATCTTGGTTGCGAAGGACCATTTTCAGCTGCAGGTAGCTCAGTGGTAGAGCACATCCTTAGCCTGTGTGAGGCTGTGTGGTTCAATCTCCAGCACCCACCACACCCCACCATTTCCCATGGAAGGAATCACGCCTCCTTGGAGAAATGGCCCCTTCCTGGGACTCAGCATGGAAAGCACGAGATGTGCCTTTTGCCCCTCATGGAAGCACAAAAGCGCTGTGAGTTGATGGCACTCAGCAGAAGGTCACAAGGGTCAGTCTGAAGAGGTTCCCAGTGGCCAACCTGGGAAAATCAGAGGATCAAAATAATGACTGTAGTCACATGTGTTGGCACACGCCTGTAATCCCAGCACTGTGTGAGGCTGAGGCAGGAGGATACTAAGTTCAATCCCAGCCTGAGCAACTAAGTGACTTAGGGAGACCTTGTCTAAAATAAAAAAGTAAAATTAAATGGGGCAGGGGATATAGCTCAATGTGAAGGCCCTAAATTCGATCCCCAGTACTAAAAAATAGAGACAGACAGACAGACAGAAAGAGAGAGGGAGAGAGAGAGAGAGAGAGAGAGAGAGAGAGAGAGAGACTGTAATAGGATATTCATGAAATAAATCCATGCTCATGTGAAAGATAAATGAATAAACCTTCCTAAGAGGAGAATGCTAACCAGTAGATATAGAAGGAGAATTATCATTTTGCAAACCTTATAGCAATCAGTGATTTAGCAAGAAACCATCAGCTGGTGCTAAAAGCAGTGGTTGGAAGTTCAGTGGCAGATAGGACATGTGAATAGTTCCAAAGTTACTCCCATTGAAAATAATAATTAATTTACTTATTAATTTTTGTTGTTTTGAGACAGGGTCTCACTCTATAGTTCTCGCTGGCCTTGAGCTCACTATGTAGTCCAGGCTGACCTTGAACTTGGCAGCAATCCTCCTGCCTCGGCCTGCCAAGTGCTGAGATTAAAGGTGTGCACCACCATGCCCATCTTATTTACTTAGGTATTACAAAGAGAAAAATAGCAACTTATAGTGCAGAAACCTCCATCATGTGATAGAAGTAAAAATCATCAGCCCCACATGCCCCTTGATCTGCTCACTGAGCAGGATGTGACATCACTTCCGATTGTTCCTGCTGAACATGAAGAGCCTGAGGTGATTACAAGAAAACACCTGGCAAACCCAGACTGAAGGACAATGTACAAAATAACTGGCCTGTATGCTTCAAAGGAGTCAAAGACATTAAAGATAGAGACCATGGCTGCCGGGCACCCTGATGTAGCGTGGGAGCCTAGACTTGACCCAGGAAGGAGAAAGGGAAAAGCACATGTAAAGGAGACACTGCTCGGACAACTGGCAAAATGTGAGTATGGCACACAGGTGAGAGGCTATGGTTATACAACAGGAAGTCCTTGTCCTTAGCTTTTTTAAAAATGAAAAAATAAATTACATACCTGGCTTTCTTCCGGAGTAACTTCTGAGACTCGGGATAATGCACCAAAATTTCATTCAAGTCCTTCTTATCCAGAATGAAGAGGTTGGTGAAGCCGTGCGCCACCACGTTGGCGGTGCGCCGATTGCCGCCCCCGATGGCCAGCAGGCTGGGGAGAAGGGAGGCTGAGGCCCTTCAGAGGCCAGAGGCCGTGCTTTGGACCTTGTTCCACGCTGCCCCCCGCCCCTCCCCTGGAGCAGGGTGGTGGCCCCACAGCAGCGAGCACCCAGGCCTCCCCTCCACGTGCCGGCAGTGCCAGTGCTGCAGGCCAAGGGCCCAGGCCCACCCTGCAGCCTCCCCCTCCCCAGGCCATGCCCAGGCCTCCTGCTGCCCCAGCCCCTCTGACCTTATCTCTCCGAACACGGACCCGGCTTTCAGCATCACCAGCACCGCCTTGCCATCGGGGCCGCCCAGGACCTGCACCTGGCCCGCCTGGATGATGTACATCTCGCGGCCAATCTCCCCCTGAAACAGAGGCGGCCTGAGCCCCTGCGCCGCCCTCAAGCACCCTCCAAGCCAAGGGCTGGGCCCAGACGCTGGTGGCCCAGCAAGGAGGCGCTAAGGCTGAGTGTCACCCTGCACCAGGACTTGCGTGATGCCTGAGACAGCTGCTTTCCTGTCGGGGCTCAGTCTCCTCGCCTGGGGATGGGGAGAGGAGCAGCCCTTGTGCTGCCCGCCCGACAGATTCTGATGGGCAGTTAGTGGTGCCATGGGACAGAAGGTGCCAGGCTGCCTGGGAGGTGCGGGGCGATAGGTTCTGTGGGTTCTCAACCACACCTGGGCGGCGAACATTCATGTGCAGCCCCAGCCAGGAGCGGCCAGCATCTGCCAGCGGATTCAGGGAGGACGACAACAATGGGGTCCTGAAGGTCCTAAGCACTTCTCTGAGCCCTGCCCATGCGGATCTGCAGCCTCGGTCTCACAGCCTGCTCTGATGGGGTTGCACTTTTTTTCTTTTGCAGTGGAGATTGAACACAGGTTCTTTGCACTGAGCCACATCCCCAGATCTTTTCTAAAGTTTTATTTTGAGAAAGGGTCTTGCTAAGTCATTAAGTTGCCAGGCTGGGCTGGAACTTGCAATCCTCCTGCCTCAGCCTGCCGGATTGTACTTTTCTAAGGTCATAAAGTAAGGGTGAAGCCGAGCCAGGATTCAAATCTAGTCTGGTTACTGTGTTCATGGTTGTTACAGGTTGAATTGTTCCCTATTCCCAATCCACATTTTGAAATCCCAATCCCCAGGACCTTAGAATGTGACCTGATTTGGTAGTAGGGTTGTGGCAGATGTAATTAAGATAAGGCCACACTGGAACAAGGTGGGAGTAATCCAGTCCAACCAGTGTCCTCACAAAAAAAGAATTGGACACAGAGACAGGCACAGTGGGAAGACATAGAAGAGACACAGAGAAGTTGGCCTAGGGCAGAGGCATCCAGTGTGTAGTCTGGCAGCCCCACCAAACTCCTACAATGGCTGAGTCCCAAGGGAAATGAATGAAGAAAGGAAGGAAGGAAGGAGGGAGGGAGGGAGGGAGGGAAGGAAGGAAGGGAAGGAGGAGCTTGTAGTCAGAGACCAGTACCAGCCGGCCACATACCTTCCAGTCCTCAGGCCCTTCCTGCCCCTCCTGGCCTGCCACCTGTCAGTAACACCTGGCATGTTTAAAAGTGTCGCCAGGACAAAAACTCCGTGACACAGCACATCTCACGCACACACAACCCTCTTCCCAGACAGGAAGTGTCATGGGTGCCTGTTTCTGTGTGCAGCCAGAAGCCTCACTAGCCAGCACCCTGGGTGTCTCGGGACAGTGTTAAGCAGCATCGGACGGCAGAGGGCGCCGCTTACACAGCCACAGTGCTCGCTTCAACTCGAAACCTCAACCTCGCCAACGCCCGCTGGACTTCCTCCCACTGAAAGCAAACTGCATCACCACGCGGGTGACAGCGACAGCAGTCAGGCCAGCTCTGTGCCAGGCATGGTGCCAAACTGTAGTCCTATACTATTCAGTCTTCCCAGCTTCCCAATAAGGCTACCCATATGCACACTTTATCCGTGAGAAGAACAGGACTCAGAGAGGGTGAGCCACTTGCTCAGGACTGCACAGCAAGGAAGTGGTTCCCATGTCCAGAAAGATCACTCTGTTGTTCCCAAGCCCTTCTTGGCTCCTAAAGCTGAAGCTTTAAGCTCTCAACCATCTACAGCATCCTTTTCTCCCTCTTTCCCCAGCACTCTGCTTCCAGAAATTTCCATGCTGCACAGCATATGGCTAGAGTCAGGGGCCTCCTTGGGCTGGGGCTCCTGAATCTTACAGGGCCTGCTTGGGCAGCATCTTTCCCCTGTACACACGCCCAGCCTTATTGCCAGTTCCATACAAGAAGACTGAGCCCTGGGTTCCTGACCCCCACTGATCTTTGTGTCACCTTGAATCTCAAAGACAGGAAGCACGAAGGGCTGGATCTACCCAGGGTACTGGTTTGCCAAGTGCATGTGTTCTCCCCCACCCCATTTCTGAATGGGAAGAGGGGGACCCTGAGAGGATCCACCATCCCTTCCCTGTTAATGGGGCTCCTGTCCTGGCCCCCACAGCCCCATCCCACATGGGGAGAGCTGCGGAACTCTGTTGCAAAGCCTGGTCACCAGCCAGCTGGACTCTTGGGCCAGTCCCCAGCTGGCACTGCAGCCCAGGGCGTCCCAGGCGCCCCCAGCCCTGCTCCATGGGACAAAGGCTGAGGCCTAAGCAGCTCCCCTCAGCTCCAGCCCTCACCTTCTTGCACACATAGTCGTTGGGCAGGTAGACCACGGAGCGCAGGCGCTTCAGCATGTCGAAGATCATCTGCCGGTCACAGCCCTGCCCAGGGAGGAGAGGAAGGAGCCCTGTTAGAGGGATGTTTAGGCTTGGGGTCCCCAGAGTTCCAAAGGAGAGGGTGCCAGGGGTGTACCTGAAAGAGCGCCACCTTGCTGACAATGTCGTAGTTCACGTCAATGGCAAGGTCCAGCCGCATCTTGTCTGGAAGTTGCACCATCAACTCTGACTCGTCTGTGAACAGGACCTGGGGGGTCAGAGCAAGGGCAGCCCCAACCCTCACACACCTACAGCCCCAGCCACTTTCCTTGCTGCCCTGGATCCCGACACTGTCACCTCCAGGCCTTTGTCAGTACGGTTCCTCTGCCAGGAAAGTCTTATGTACTTCCCTGACTAATTCCTACTCATTCTTCAAAACCCAGCACCAATGTCACCTCTTCCAGGAAGTCTTCCCTGGACACTCCCAACACAGCCTCTGCATCAGTGGTTCTGGGGCTGTAGCACTGGTTATCCCTTCATTGCAGTTGTTGATGAAACACCAAACACACACACACACACACACACACACACATTAGGAAAACAACATTAGCAAGAACTAGTTTATCTAGCACTTACCATGTGCCAGCTGTGTGAGCATGTGTGGAACTGGGTATTGAACACAGGGCCTTCACACTGAGCTACATCCCCAGACTTTTTTGTGTGTGTATTTTGTGACAAGACTTCACTAAATTGCCCAGGCTGGGCTCAAACTTGCAATCCTCCTGCCTCAGCCCGCAGTGCTGGGATTGCAGGTGTGTACTACCATGCTGGCTTTTAAATCAATCTTTTGTCTTCTTTAATTTTTTTAGTGGTGCTGGGAATTGAACCCAGGGCCTTGCATACGCTAGGCAAGTGCTTTACCTCAGAGCTACACTCCCAGCACTTCGTGTGCCTGATTTTTACAAAGATTATTTTATTTAGTCCTCCCCACCACCCAAAGAAGCTCACTCCTCTAGGCCCCTCTTTATAGACAAGCTGGGGCATGGCTTGCCTGGCACCATGCAGGGAGGCTGCAGGGCCTCAGAGCCTGCACAGGGGTACAGGGCAATGTCCCTGGTGCTCACCATGGGATGCAGGTGCCATGACAGAGGAAAGGATGGGGGAGAGGGAGCAAGGGAGGGACTCCTCCTTCCTGACTCAAACTTCAACTTTGATCTCCAGTGGGGCTGTGTCTCAAGGTGAAATGAGAGACGGGAGCCCAGGAGAAAGGCCTGCAAGTCTTCAGGAGTGTCATGACAACCCAGCTTGGGGCATCTCCCAGGCCTCTTCAGGCCCCTCTCACATAAACCTTGGGGCCATAGCCAAGAGAGGCCTAGTGCTTGGGCCTCAGATACACAGGACAAGGGAAGAACTGGAAGGCATGGGGAGGGGGGTGTCAGTCTTACCCAGCATGCCTTGCGAGTGCCAGGTGTACTCGTACCAGGTCTTGACGCGGTTCTGCACGGACCTGGGGATCTTGTAGAAGTTCATGTACTTCACTGTGCTGTCCATGCAGCTGCGGTAGTAGGTTTGTCCTGCAGTGGCCGCCCCTACCACATCTCTCATCTGGGGCAGGACAAGAAGCAAGTTTTGGGATGCATCACTTTACCCAGACAGGGGCACATGCTCACAGGGGAGGAAGGGAGGGAGGAAGACAGGCATCCACACACAGAGGTCTACTGGTGAGGAAGAGTCCTGCCTCTGGTACAGACGTGGGAAGGGAGCTGGCCCCTCCAAGGGTATCCAAGCAGGGGACACCTCTGGGCTGGGCTGATTCTGGTACAGTGTGGCTCTGCGGTCCCATAGCCACTTTGTCCAAGCCCTTGCTAGAGGAAGTACGGACCTCAGTGTACAGTTCCTCAGGCTGAGGACCTTCAAAGGCTCCTGTGAGGACCCCTGAGTGTCACCTGCCGAATGTTGGAAACACAAGGGGTCCCTCCTGCCTTTCGTTAAGCCATGCAGGTCAGCTCACCAGGATACCCACAGGGACTGACATTTTCAATGGAAATAACCTCAGAGAGGGAAGGGACCTAGACCACTAGCAGCACCTCAGGCTTCCGATTCTAAGCCCAGTGCTCCTTAGTCCCAAGGCAACAGGCAGAGGGGCTGATGTTTCTGGCAGCAGTGGGAGGGGCCCTGAGGGTGTGGGCTGGGACCCCAGGCTGAGTCCCAGCTACCTGTCCAATCATCACAGAGAAAGCGAATACACCCGTGAAATAGTTCAGCAGCTGGAAGACAATTTCAAAGAGCGTCTGGGGGTCAGGCAGCCCCCCGATGGTGATGAGTGTCTTCACAGCCCAGTAGTAGCAGCGAATGTAACTGGAGAGAGAAGAGGAAAAGGACCTCCATCATAACAGGACACACCTGCCGACCTTGGGTGGCCTGGTTCAGACCCCTGTGATAGGTGGGCACCGTGCAAAGAGGGACAGCTTACAGGCCTTAGAGGCATGAACACCTGCCTCTCACGCAGGCAGAGCATGTCACAGTTTGTCCCTGGCTCTGCGCCTCCTCTTCAGGGGCATGTGGTGATCCCTGTGGACAGATATGGAACTAACACTCCAGAAGATATCTAGGGATAGGCCAGTCCTGTTGATAGGCCCTCAATTTCCACAATTGTTTCCTTTGCTATCCCCTGTCATGCTGCTTACAGAAAGCAAGTTTTACAGTTTAGATGAGATGTCCCCACCAAAGCCTCATGTACTCATAGGTGGAGCTTTAGGGAGATTGGATCATGGGGCCATGATGCTCATCAGTGGATTAGTCCACTGAGTTTATGGCAGCTAAACGTGATGGTGGGAGGTAAAGTCCGGTCTGAGGAGGTGGGTCACTGGGAGTGTGGCCTAGAAGGTTCTATCTCCCTCCCCCTCCCTTGACCAGTCTCACTCTGCTTCCCACCACCATGCCATGAGCTGCTACTCCTCTGCCGTGTTGCCCTGCCTTGGAGCCAGTGACTAAGGACTGAAATCTTTATAAACTGTGAGCCAAGTAAACCTTTCTTCCTTTAATTGTGGGCGTCAGGCATTTTGTGCCAGCAATGAGAAAGTAACTAAGACAAAGGACAACATCAGAGTTGGAAGATCCTGTTGGCCCTCGTATCTGCGGGTTTGCATTTGGGGATCCAACCAAGCACAGGTGGAAAATGATTTTTTAAAAATTCTGTCTGTACTGAACAAGTACAGATATCTTTTCTTGTCAGTATTCCCTAAACAATACAGTGTAACAAGAATTTAGCATTTGCATTGTATTAGGCATTCTAAATACTCTAAAGATAACTTAAAGAATATAGAAGCAGTACATAAATTATATAAAAATCCCACATCATTTCCTATAAGGGAATGTGCAGCCTCAAAATTTGGCATCTCCTGGAACCAGTCTCCTGTGGCCTCTGAGAAATACTGTATCTTGAGGGCCACCTTCTCTGTCCCTTCCTCCTGCTCACCCATTTTCCAGGTAATGAAATTGAGTCCCCACCATGGGAAAGGGAACCCCCATGGTCACCAGCTGGCAAGTTCCAGACCCAGGACTGGAACCCAGGGTGCTGGCGGTTCCTCTGAGCTGCCACCCCCAGTCCAGGCTCATGATCAATGGGGAAGGGAGGAATGGGTGCTGCAGGGTCCTGCTGTGTGGTAAAGGGCACAGGAAATGCCATCACAAAGAAGCAAGAGCCCCTACACCTGTCCACACCTCCGGGCTGAGCCCTGCCGGGAGCCAGGAAGGGGGAGGGCAGGCAGGGCTGAGAGATGGGCCGGCTTTCCTGGGCTTCCTGGCTCCACTTGCCAGCTACTTCTGCAGCCCAGGAGCTCAAACTCAGGATCTGGAGCCAGACTAAAGGTACTCAAAGCCACTTTCTAGCTGTCTAACTGGGAAGATAGCTCAATTTCTCCGGTTCTGTCTTCCATAAAATGGTGATGGTGATGGATCGCCCTTCACAGGTGACCACAAGGATAAAATGAGCTGCTGAAAGAGAGAGTGCCTGGCACAAGGTGGGCTCTCCATAAATCAGTGGTCCCCCAGTGCCTACCATGTACCTACAGTGAGCACAGCACAGCATTGCTGAGTCCTCAGGAACCTCTCCAATGAGAATGGGAAGTGTGTGCTAAGTGCTAGGAGGAGGAAGCAGAGGTTGCTGGGGAATTAGGGGCTGGCTATGCTTCTGACCGGATGAGGCTCTGGGCTTCAGGGCACCTCATCACTCTGTTTGTTGCATGGAAACGTCTCAGGACAACACAAACCTGCCCAGTCAAGCCCCCATCATACTGGTCCTGGCCACCAGAGAGCGCACCAAGCACCCCTCCTAGGGATTGAGCAACCCCTAACCCTCCAGACCCCTGGACTGGGAGCTGGGGGACCACGACTGAGGTGGATAGGCCACCAACAGAGAGAGGACATAGGAGTGATGTCCACAAAGCTCTGGCTTCCCTCTATGAGTTTCCCTGTTGGAGTAATCTTAGAGACCTCCCCAAAGTCTTGTGTCTTCCTGCTATGGCTCTGTGAGGACCCTCCCTCCACGTCTCAGAGCCAGAGAGCCCTGGAGCCTGGTGAATGACCGCACATAGAGGAACCCGGGTCCCCTTCCTGCTTGCCATCCTTTCCCAGGACTGCCAGCCCCATTTGCCCCAGGGAAGTGGGTCTTTAGCTTACTGAGGCACAAACCCCTTTGAGAATTGAAGGAAAGCCATGAAAGTCTCCTTAGAAAATTTGACATAGTCTCAAAATTTAGCTCTAAATTCCAGGGGGAGGGATTTTAAACAGGGATGATACCCATTAATACACATTTGAGGCTCATCTTGTCTTCCAGATCCCATGTGGGTCTCACACTGGCAGCACAGCTTGCCCACGACAGCTGTGTACCAAGTGCTGTGTGGCCCCTTGTGGACATCCAGCTCTGGAGGGCAGGGTCTGAATTCCTTAGGGAAGCTGCTTGGCAACCTGTCTCTGCCTACCTTTCTAGAAACTTCCACAGACCCCGCCCCCTTCAGCCATACTGGACTCCAATCCCTGACTCTGTTATCTTGCAATCCCCCACAATTCCATTTTTAAATTTAATCCTATTATTTTATTTTGTTGTGTTTTGTTTTTACAGGGCTATGGATAGAACCAGGGCTGCACGTACATGCCAGCCAAGAGCTCTACCACTGAGTGAAACACCCAGTTCCTTTTATTTTATTTTGAGACAGGATCTCCCTAAGTTGCCCAGGCTGGCCTCGAACTTGTGATCTTCCTGGTTAGCATCCCGAGTAGCTGAGATTGCAGGCATTCGCCACCCCGCCCAGCAAAAACTTCTCACCTCTCTTCATGTGATTCCCTCCCTTTGGGTTCTCTGTTCTTTTTTCCTATCTCTCAAAGCCCAGATGAAGCCTAAGTAGCTTAACTTTTGGTGAAATTGCCACACCCATTCCTGTTCCCACTCCCCCATCCCTCCCCCGGGCACCAGGCACTTTTCTTTTTCCTTGAGGTAGATGGTCCAGCAGTCAAGGCTCTGTAACTATGAACTGTGTGACCTTGAGAGTTCACATTTGTCACTTCCTCTGTCAAGGGGAAGAGTCGGAGTAGCTATCACGTGACTGTTGTAAGTTACTATGTAAAGTGCTTTGATCAGGGCTGCTACATATTAATAGTAATAAGTGTTCTGCAAGGCTTACTGCCGTTGTTATCATCATCATCATCATTGTATTATGTCTCCTATGTGGGAATGGCAAGTGGGTCCCTCTGGTTTGCTAGTTCCTCCATGGCTGGCCACACCCAGGGAGCAGTGCAGAGAAGCAAGCTCGGGGCTCATTCCCACTGGCCTTGCCCCTGGGCTGACAAAGTGCATGCACCTGCTCCATGTATTTGCCAACCCTACAGCACTTTGGGATGCTGAGAGGATCTTGGTTTTTGTTCTGTTTTATTTTTTTGGTTTTTTGAGACAAGGTCTCACTATGCAGTTCAGGGTGGCCTTGAAGTCATTATGCAGCATAGGCTGGCCTCAGACTTGCAGCAATCCTCCTGCCTCAGCCTCCCGAGTGCTGGAATTACAGGTGTGTGCCACCATGCCTGGCTTTGCTAAGAGGACCTTTCCAGCAGGTCTCGTTCGTGTCTCTACCCTCTGCCTGGCACACAGCAGGTGCTCAGGGAGATGTGGAGACTGGGCCATTGAACCTTGTCATGTCAGTGATTCCTTAGGAGCAAGGTAGGCTTGGCAACATGGTGGCAAGGGACTCCTTTCTAGGAGTCTTTGTGCTGTGAATATAAAGAGTAAGACCATCACCCAGGTGTGGCCCCAGGAGGAAGGGGAGCTCACCTGTTTCCCACACCATCGTAAACCCAGTGAGTGGAGCCAATGCCCTGAAAGGCTGATGCCCAGTAGTAAAGACACGAGTTCAGGTGCAGGCTGTACAGCAGGTAGGCTGTGGTCCTGATGACCCTGCAGAAGAAGGGGCATGAACACAGCCATGAGAGGGTGGGGGTGACATCTTCTCCAGGGCCAGGACTGTGGGGAAGCAGGCAGTCCTCACCTACCCTGAGGCCCATCTCAGAGGTTCCCCCAGTGGAGCCATACGGTCCTGCCTCACCACTCAGCAGGGTGGACACCTGGCCAGTCGGAAGCAGCAGGAGCTGAGCTGGCCCTGTGGGGTGCTCTTTAAGGCTATGCCAGTTAGGAATGGTGGCACTCAGTCAGGATCTTGGGAATAGGCCCGGGGTGGCAGAACTACCTGCTCAAGTGAGTTCCAGGCTGGCAGTGGGGCCAGAGGAGAAATGTGGCCATGGGAAGAGCAGTAGGGGACAGGATGTGCAGAGAAGTGATGATGAGGCCATGCACCCCATGAGAGAGATGCGGAGAGGTGGTGGGAGTCCTGCTCCTCTAGTGCAGCCTGGCTGGCCTCATGCCCCACCTTGGGTGTCCGTGAGAAGCCCCCTGTGTCCCCATAAATGATCCCTTCCATTGGAGCTAGGGTGGGGGCTTCAGTTCCCTGCACTGACCCCAAAATACTAGTGAGCCTCTCCTGTCAATCTACCACAATTAGGGGAAATAAGACAATCCTGATTCTCTAAAGAACAAACATCTGTTCAGAGAACAAGTGGAGCCCAGAACAAGCCCGGCTCCTGGCTTCCGCAGGCAATGGGGAATGGGGGAGAGGAGGTGAGAGGGGCAGAAATGGGTGAGGAATGTCTCATCCTGTGTGTGCACACTCACATGATGGGCACATGTGGGCACGCGTGTACATGCACGTATGTGTGTGTGCGTGGGTGTCTCACCTGTAAACGTAGGCTTTGCTGAGGATGGCTTCCAGGCGGTTGTTAAACTCAAAGAAGGCCATGTACTGGGAGGAAGAGGAAGGCATCAGGGACAGCCGCTGACTCAGGGCACCCTGGCTTCACCTCCCTGCCCTCCTGGTGCCTCAGCCCTTCCTCCCTGAAGGAGGAGGAGCTGAGCAGTGAGTGTTCAAGCCAAGGGTGCTTAGTGCATGGGCAGGTAGGGGCTGGAAACCCCATTTAGGAATCTGATGACAGCCACGGCCCATCTTCACTGCGACATTACATATAATCTGTTCTCAGCATTTGCTTATTATTTCTGGGGACTCCCAGACCTTCTGAATCCCATCATGAAACTTTTGGGCATATGTGCATCCCAGGTTAGGAGCCCTATTTTGAATGTTTATTTATAAAGAATATAGTTTTATAATAAAACATTTAATAACCCCCACTTATGTCCTTCAAAGGGTATGTAACAAAAGTATAATGATAACTACTCATCTTTATTGAGCTCCTGTATGATTGGCACCTCTTATACCTATCTTATTTCTTATTTACCTATGAGGTGTGTGTTATCTTTTTTTCAGGGCTGGGGATCTTTTTTTTTTTTTTTTTTTGGTACCGGGGATCGACCTCGGGACCTTGTGCTTGAGAGGCAGGCGCCAGAACCACTAAGCTAAATCCCCAGCCCCAGGGCTGGGGATCTTGCATGCTAGACAAGTACCCCACCAGTGAGCTACAGCCCAA